AATCAGTTGCTTCTGATAAGTGGGATGTTGGTGTGTTTACACAACAGTAGTGGAACATAAGCCTACACTCTGGATGCTGTGTAACCACCACATCCTGCCGTCGGCTTTTAGTCATGACTGACCTGTGGGTGAAAACTTGTTTGAACAATGTGGACATAGATGTGTGTTTCTGTTCCAGATGATGTGGTGATTAAGAGTTGTATTCATTTTTCAAGCAGAGAAAGTACTGCATAGTTATATAAAGTATACTGTATCTAATTTTGATGCTCATTTGATAAAAATAATTTTACTATTTTTATACTGTAATTATAACTTAATTTAATACCAGATCTAATCTCATTTTGTGATCCCTCCGAAACAGAAGTAACTGGCACTTTGTGGGTTACATCAAGCAAAGTGATTCACACCAATGTACTGAATAATCCTCTTTATATTTGCACAGATTTGCACTTGAATACTACAGTGGGGTATCTTATTTATTTCTTTTCAGATAACTGTCTTAAATATTCTGTGGTCCTTAAATTATGTATTGTACCATAACCCGCTGTAGCATTACCTCATTAGGGGCTAATCATCAAACTCCTAAGGGTAAAAATAAATGACCAATTTATTTCCAGAAACTAAAATATCAATTGTGTTATAATTTTGGTTATTACTTCCTGGTCACTGATCTGGACCCTGTGATTGGCTGGAAATACTCACTGAAAGCAGGTCATTGGGCAGATCCTCTCCATTGTTGATGCCTCTGTTCATGGAGATGAAGCGCTCCAGTGTGGTCTTGTCCTTCACATTAGGGTTGTGGAGGCTGGTGTTCAACATGATGATGGCGAAAGACAAGATGTAACACGTGTCTGGTGTTGTAAAAAAGGAAAGGAACACAGTATAAGAAGTAATACTTTAAAATACATAACAATGTAGTTCACATACAGAGTCAGTGACGAGGCAAAAGGAAGGATAACTGAAACCATTACAGTCAAAAAGAAACTCAGAGAGAGATGTTGTAGCCAAACACATCAACCCTTACCCACATAAAGTCCAGTGAGGAAGTGGACATGTATATTTATTAAGCTCACCGGTCGACTGGAAGACATGAGTGTTGCAGTCACAGTAGCGTGTGGCGAACGCCTCCATCATGCGGTCAATCTTCTGGGCTTCACCAGGCAGGCGGAAACTCCACAGAAACTGTCTGTCACATACACACCACAAAAAGCATAAGGCCTCTGCGCACATTTCTGTTTAGGCGTGTGAACTGTAGATGCGCCACAGGTCTGGAAAGTGAGTGTGTGTGTTGGCAGCAGCTACACAGTTTAACAAATGATGAGCATGACACATGTAGACACACAACTCTGTAAATATTGTCATGTTCAGTACTAAATAACACGGCAATGAGTAGTGTTATGCAGCTCCTCTAGTACTTCACTTAAAACTTTCTTTAAGATTTACTTAATTCACCTTCATATCTAGACATTTGTAGTTAGCTGCACAATCCAATAAAGGCTGGACTTTCCTGTTATCAGCATAGTTGCAGACATTTGTGGAAGTTTGAATGTGGTCATATAAACTGGAACAGAACCTGAAAGTGCCAGTTTCACTACTGGGCCCACTCTGCCCGGGGACTGTAGTGGTTTCAGATTTCACACCGGTTTGTGGCACAGGCTTTCCCGTTCACATTTGTACTGACCCTGATGACATGACTATGACATCATGAGGATCATTGTCAAATTCTTTTCCCAGTAAATCTCCTCATGATTAGTAAACTGATTCCTATTTGTAAAATTGTGTTTTTTATGCAGGCTCTTTAACTTGTAGCACAGAATTTTAAGACTGTGGTATTGATATTTCCTGTAACTAGAAGATTTGAATTCTTTCTCCTCCTCTGCTGATCATATTCAAACAGCCTCTGATGTGGCTGCTGACGTTTCTCCGCTAACTGCTGCTCTGCAGGTGGAAACTGCTGAAGTTTGTGGCTAATGTTGTGGCTGGTGAAAGTATAATCAGTGTTAGGTATAGTAACCATAATCTGAATTGTGTAATCATGTGGTTGATTGTTGTATCTTAATCTGAATTGTGTAATCATCTGCTTGATCGTTGTATCATTTTGAGACATTTTCCACTTGAATATGTACATGCCATAAAAACCTGCAACGATATCATGTCATAAATAAAAGTGCACAAACACCTAGACATCAGGGATAAGGTGTGTTTCCAGTGGAAACTTGTGTTTTTCTCTTTAACTGGTAAAAATGTACAATTCCTGGACAAATGTTCAGGATTTCTCACTATTTCATGTAGATTGTTAAGTTTGGTAATGACTCTCTATGTGCAAATGAAAGTTCAAATTTAAATGTATTTAGTAAATACTTAAACAATTTATGCCAATCTGATAATCCCATGGTAACCTCACCTTTGCATTCTGTTCTTTTTGTGAACTGTGCATTGTGTATATCTGTTTTTTATTTTATTACGAAGCACTTTATAACATTTGTTCAGAAAGGTGCTATATAAAAAAGTTTAGCTTGCTTGCTCTTGTCTGCAGGTACAGTATGTAAAATAGGCACCTGAACTTCTGAAGTCTTAGATGACAACATCTATATGTGTGTAAAGGTTCCTTTTAATGTAGTGATGATGATGGTGGTGATAAATGAAAAGTCATCTGTGATACAGGAGTGAAGATGATGAGGGCTGCTGACCTGAGGGCCTGGACCAGGTTGAGGTCGGAGAACTCGTGAAGATCCACAAAGGCCTTCAGGGTCTGGAGGTGGAGCTCCTCCCTGTGGGGCAGAGGGGGCGAGAAGACACATTAAACCAGAGGAAACTGCTCACCTTGTTGGAACCTGCTGTTACAACACCTCTGCCTCCGTCCTCCAACTAGTCTTGTTTTTTCTCACTTTTGGTTTTCCTTCACCTCCTCATTGTTCCTTACACGAGTTTGCTCTTTTCTCATCTTCCTCCTCTCATGGCTGCTTTTCCTTCCCATAACTTTCTTTCTGTTCATCTTTCTCATGAATTTACCTTTGCTGTTCCTTACTCCCACAATGAACCTCATCCCATGTCATCCTATATTCACTTATGTCCTCTTCAATCTTTCCTTCCTTCCTGCTTGCTACCCTTATTCTTATCCTCATCAGTTCTGTGCCTCTGCACCTCCTTGACTTCCATACCCATCCTCTCTTCCACCCCACCTGCCCACTTTTTCCTCTTCCTCACCTTTCTCCAAGGAATTCTCCGATGGCTGTCTTGTTGAGTCCTTCCTCCTTGTAGAGGAACTCAGCAATGGACTGAGCACTTCCATCCAGCAGTTTGTTCATCACCAAGTAATTGATACCCTGCATGAAAACACACACACACACACACACACACACACACACACACAAAAATAGATTGTTTACCACAAGTATGCCTTTGCACTTTAACACAGGTTTCATTGCACCAACAGCTGAAGCTTCACAGGCAAGAGGCATATGAGCTCATGGCACATATAATGCCTGCAGTGCTGTCGTCGATCATTTTTAGTTTCATGATGATCTCATCTCTGTTTGGTAAGACCAAGCACGCTTACAGCTTTTGTAATTCCAATTCCTTAAAACCAATTTCTCTTCCTCTTTCTCCTCCAGTACAGAGGTTGGAGAGGAAGAGAATAATTAAAAATATATTTACTGTGAAATTTTTAAAAAAGAAATCAAAATATCCTGCTGCTGTACCGCCTCTCTCCCACATCTCTGACCATAAATCAACAGGCTCACACTTGTCTTTTATATTTGTTTGTGAGTAAATAATTACAAAATCATCATGTCCGAATTTTTGTTTATTCAGACAGTTACAAGGAAACAGACAAAAGTCCCGTAGGTAACCCAAACAATGCCTGTAGTTCAGAGAAGACTTCTTGTTCCAGTAAGCAAAACTGCTAGTGCTTTTTCTTTTTATTTATTGTTGCCAACATTCACACCAACTTTGACAAAGGTTACACTGAAACCACTGAAGATGTGCTGTGAGCCTACGTCAGTGTCATTTCACAGACTCACTGTGGTTAAATGAGAGGAAGTCCACATAGCAACGAGCAAGAGCTGCTCAGTTAAAACACCGAGAAACGTGGCAGGGAGATTTTTCTCAGACCCTTCAAGAATAGAAAGATGTCATTTCTGACTAGGTATTATGCTAATCAAGATATTTTGGTAAAGCCATGTTCACTTCATGATGAGTTGTGTCAGACATTCAGTGGAAACATGAGCTCACCATTTTGGGGTCCATGTTGAATTTCTTCTTGCCATTTGAGAACTGTTTGCTCTTCTCCAATGTCTTGCTGCAGGAAAAGCAACAGAAATAATAGATAAAGCTACATACACAGTCAATAGTAAAACCTCAGGTTATAATGTTTAGGTTTGGTGGAAGGTGTTTTGGAGAAGTGTTGACTCAAATGTGCTGCTGTTGAGTTGTATTATACTATTTCTCTTATTTAGCCTACTGGTGTATGAGCTGGACAGGATGAAAGAAACGCCTGTCAGCATAATGTGGCTGAATCATATCTCTTTAAAATAACTTTTAACAAAAACTGACAAGTAAAACCCAGTAAAGGATTCATAGCAGGGTTGTTATATTAGACAGCACTGGTTTTAGCTAGGTGCTAAAATGTTTTTTTTGTACATAATTTCTATCAGGCAGATATTAAGAAGCCTTAAAAATAAATTATTCTTAAGCAAAGGTTTTAAAAAGGCTCTTAATTTTGACTTTACTCAAAATGTGTGCTTCACATCATGCCATCAGCTGTATCCACAATGTTTATTCATTAATTTGGTTCTCTTCAAAACATACTGTTTGTACCTTTTTGTGTCTGCATTCTCCAGATGAGAGAATAGAACAGTTTTTTTTTTTATATGGACTGAAAATTTCAGACACAGGCTGCAGCTATTCAGTAAAACAAACTGACAAAATACATTGAGAATCTACATTTTCCAGAGTAAAAACTAACTTGGAGGTGGGTTAAAATTGTTGGCAAGCCATTGTGAAACTAAAACATTACTGTGTGACACTGAAAAATGAAGTAGGAGTATTTAGTTGGTGTGCTAAAAAGAGGAGATTTATAAAAAGAACTCATGGTTTGCTAGGGAGGTGTTAACAGAGGTAGGGCTTTCCCCAGACTCAAACTCACTTTTCTTCTGCAGACTCAAAGCTGAGTATTTCCGCCATCACGTTGTCAATCTCCATCTTTAACTTCTGGAAGGACAGAATAAAAGAAAGGTCTTTAACACTTTCCTTCCTTAATATTAAGAGCAGGACAAGTTATCAAACAGTTGAAACAAAATTGCTTTAACTATGTGATAGTTGTCACATGGATGCATACAGTAAGCACGTATGTTGAAGTGTGTGACGAAGTGTGCAAATACCTGGATATCATCCAGAAGGTCTTTTTTATAAGTCTTAATGGTCTCGATCTCCATCTTCTCATCTGCTGTAAAATCTGAGGAAACTTTTAAAAAATGGAATAAAAACAATCAGATTCTGCTTATAATGAAGAGGCAGTTCTTCATATTCAGTAATCGGCCTACACATCCATCCATCCATCCTCTATACTGCTTAGTCCCAAACGGGGTCACGGGTTGGCCTACACAACTTCCTTCAATAAAAATGATGATATAATCCACTCTGCCCATGCGTCCATTGTAGGAAACAGATTTGTGGAAAAACACTCAAGATGTGTCATTTGTTCTTTCGATTTGAAAGTATCATAATGTTTCCCTTACAAAGTTTTAAGGCCATCGATATGGTTTTACCTTTTGAGTCACCCGTGTAGACTGATCTGCTCTATTGTACAATGATTTAAATAAACTCTGCATGTAGCACTGATGTGTTGTATTTAAAGATAACCACAGCACAGGGAAGATAAATTTCTATGGAAGGTCTGAGACAGGTGTTGCGGTTTTTGTGTGAAAGTTATTTGCCACCGCAAAATGTTACCAAGAATACATTTCTTGAAAAACACACAATCAGACGTGTACATACGTTGGTACATATTAAACTGCAGATAATAGGCTCTTATCATTCTAAGAGAGTCTCAAAGAAAGAGAAGTGATGTATGAGTCATTGATGAAGTAACAATAATTATAATAATAATAATCATCACCTTTATTTAGCCAAGTGTGTTACAAATAAGAAATTTGTTTCTGGTACAGAACCGAGGCAGCCATCTGCGGCGCCAACTCACATCGATGGCTCTAACCATCAGGGGCAACTTGGGGGTTCAGTGTCTTACCCAAGGACACTTTGACACGTGAACTGCAGGCACCGAGATTCAAACCTTCAACCCTCTGGTTGGGAGATAACTGCTCTACCCACTGAAGCAAAGTCGCCCCCAAGTAATGCAAAGAAATGATGCTCACCTATGATTGCTTAAGAAGCAATATTTTACAGTTACTAGGTTCCCTACAGGATGTTGCAGTTATATTTCCACAACAAACATGTCTGTCAACATCCTCTATGCTTGATCTTTAGTGATAAGTTACACTTTTTTACATTTCTAGCCTTGTGGTCATTGCATCACAGAAGTTACTGTCTTAGGACGTCAGTTCCCTAAACCTTTCAAGATTATACTGACAGCTAGAGTTAGCATAAGGGGATTAAAAAAAAAAGTTAGATTTGACTAAATGTCAGATTTCCTGTTTTCGTGTGGCCAACTTGTTCTCAATTTTCTTAGAATATTTTACATTTGACTCACGGAACCTGACTTCTCCCAAAAACATTCGAAATGAACAGCAGCTTTTTTGTTGTTGTGTAAGATAACTGCCTCCTACACAGATGCATTTATTAATGTCAGCTGTAGGAAGTAAATAATTTTAAAAATGTTTTACAATCTTTAAAAAAAAAAAAAAAAAGGCCACATGTTTTTCATTTTCAATATCAGTTATGGTGTTACACAGCAGTGAGCAGTTTTTCTTCTAAAGACTGCTTGTTTGAAGGATTTTTTTAGGCTGGGCATCAAGAGACCAGGCAATGCTGTCTGGAATCTTGTTTTGTGCAATCTCCACTTTTGTAAAAGTCATGTTGTCATTGCTTGTAACTAATGTTCAAATTAAGTGGAACATATTCTGGGTCTGATGCATTCATGTGCCATAAGGGCATCTGGAGCAATGACATTTATATACTAAGTATACAAATGTCAATTCTAAGTAATTTTCAAAGCAGTTTTTAATAGAAAACATTATGGTTTTTTGCAGGTTTACTTGTTGTCTTCCAGGCTTGGTGTTCTAGCAACATCAGCTTTGAATGCGAAAACTGCTCTGCAGTTAACTCCCCTATGTTACAGCCTCTCACAAGCACACTCACTTTGACTTAATAACCAATGTACATTAAAGTCCACAACTTATTATTGTGTTACAAAGATCATCTGCTGATGCTGCGTGTAGAAAAGCAGATAGAAAGTAGGGAGCGGGTCCCTTAAGATATCATGATAAACACAGCAGACGGGCTTCCAGTGAAACTATGTGCTCAGTAGTGTCTCCACAGCAAATGGTAAAAAATGGTAAATGGACTGTATTTTATATAGCGCTTTCTCACAGTGTGTTGCACTGGCCAAAGCGCTTTACAGAAGATCATACACCATTCACACATTCACACACAACATTCACACACCGATGACGACAGGCTGCCATGCACTACACATAGACAAACCAACATTTATGTGCAATGTTGCATGTTTTATCCTCACTGAAAAATAAACCGGTAAGTGCAGTGCCTTCTGTAGAGATCTGTGAGCGGTGTGGTTTTAATGATCTGTTCGCAGGCTTCCACTTCCCTACCCTCCCTTTACATTTGTTGTGCAACAAGCGGACAGCCCAAGTCGCCAAATGCATTATTTACATCACTTCGATTACCTGGCCCTTGGTCTTAACTGTGGATTGTTCAGACATCTAACCAAATATATGACCCTCTATTTTTATAGGACCGGTGATGTGTTGTCCTCTGAGATCTGAGTACAAGTTTCTCTTCCCTGTTTCAGCTGCAACCAACAAGGTGCAGATCAGCAACATACCAAGAACTGTGTAACAACTACTGAAAATGTTTAAACACCAGCGGTTTTCACAGTGCACTAAAAGGTCAGACCACAAGGAATGAAATTCATTTTACATCAGCATTCAGCATTTCAGATCACAGCTGTTTCTTAGGGAAAACAGCTGGATTACCATGTCAGACAAAGGTTACCAGTATGTTGGCAACCAGAGTAGGACAGTAGTATTACAAATATCAAATATATCAACATTGACAGGGTAGGAATAAATGACAGTATGTTGTATACAGGTAAATTACAGTATCATGAAAACAGTCCCTTATTTCTCAACCTGAAATATCAAGCAACAATTTCTGGAACACAAATTCAAAACGTTAAGCATAACGGGTCTTACCCATTTGACAATCAATCATTTATATCCAAGGGGTAGGAGAAAAAAAGAAGACACTGAGGCACCAAAGCAACAAAATAAAGTCATCAAGTGAAGAAGTCAGGATGTGCACGCTGCCCCACACACAGTGAAGTGACACTTGAATGAAGTGGATGTTCTCTATTATCCCCGCCTCTTCCTCAACCATCACAGGGCGAAGCTTACACCAGAATGAACTGATAGAAATATCTGGGTCATTTGATGCTAAATGATAAAGATAGATGAACCTCTGTTCTGTTTTTAAACTACAAATTAGACATATTTTTCTGAAGATGAGGCCACCTTTCTTCTTTTTTTAATTGTGGTGTACTAACTCAAGCTGAGCTGACATTTGAAGACACTGGACTGTAGTAGAAGTCATGAGTGGTTAACAAGTGGTTTTGTATGCAACGTCATCAACGGTATCCGACTGTAAACGTCTGTTTCTTGGTTGGTTATTGAAACTGATGTGGAACATAAATGACTAAAGGATGAAGACAACCTCACTAGAAATAAATATTGGCATTCTTGTATATGTGAATTACTATACAAACAATATCACAATACAGTAAGATTTAACAATACAGCAGCGTAATATACAGCATAAAGTCACAAACACAATCACCAGTAGAATAAGGAGATTTTAGGAGTTGCTCATGGGTGATCTGACAAATTTAGTTTCCTACGTACAAGTATTAAAGTAACATGCACAAAAGTCTAACAGCAGCTTCTCTGCTGCGCATGCCCTGAATTGACATAATTGACAAAATTAAGTTGAAGTGCCACCTAGTGGTACCAAAGGGCTATCACAGGTACTGTTGTGATACAGTACCTGTGAGCTGTCGGCACGTTTGTGCATTTTTCTAACCATGTTTAAATCACTTTACAAGTGAAATAAACTACATACACTAAATTTAAATTACAGTACAAGTGTGTGTACCAGTAGTAGCAGCAGATGTGATTGTTTATTACTGTGGTGTAGTTGTTTGTTTTCCTCCAAATTGTCTTTCTTTACAAAGAAATGAAATCTAAGCTTAAACTATAGCACTAGTAAGTGTTTGGTCTCATTCTGGTTTATGTCTGTATTTTATCACTTTAAATTTATTTTGTAAACTAAATTAAAGCCACTGGGGGTGAGTTCGTGCGGATGCATGATTGCAAAAGGAAGTTTTAAATAAAGCTCAGTGTTAATGTTACTGCAACACTTTGGCCATTATAAAACCCTTCATGGTCATTTCACAGCTCTGTTCTGTTGCGACACAAACGTTTCCCCTCATCATTTACCTGATTTATACTTGTACAAGTTGTGTTATGAGGACAAAACTCCACAACAAAACAGGAAGGAGAAATGTGAGCAAAAGTGAAGGAAGAGAGTGTAATAGAAAGAGCGGCAGCAGAGGGAGGGGAGTGAGGGAGGTGTGTAACAGTTTCCTGTAGTTGCATGCTGCTCTGCGTCTCTGCACCTTCCTCTCCGAGTCTGTTTCTGTCACAGTGAAGAGAGCATAGACGAAGCTGAGCGGAACAGGATGCAGGCTATCAAATGTGTGGTCGTGGGAGATGGGTACGCCATTATTTTACTTGACCTATATTGTTACAATATAAGCTGCCTTCTAGTATTTAATCATGTTAACTCAGCTGAGGCCTGATGTTTAGCCCTTGGCTCAAAATGTAGGGTTTTTGATAGACATGTCAAAGATTTTGGAATGGGCTGAACAGCCCCAAGTAACAGTTTTGAACAACTTCCGCAGTGATGTAGCAGAGTGATATGGTATTCACTCTTAAAACCTGTCTACTGTATGGTTGTAGTTGTTGGAAAACTCAGTCTATACAATATCATGTGTAAATCTTTAGGCGTTTGTTTGACAGGGCTGATTCAGAGTGAGGGTGCAGGCCACAACATGCAGGAATCCGCTGTAATAGAGCAAGCTCAAAGAACAAACGCTTTACTGAGATGAACATCCAAGGAATGTCTAAAACATCAGGTCACAAGACAAACTTTTAAAAAAGTAGACAAGAGAAGAAATAGGATCCCACCTAGAGACGTTGGTTAGGTTTGGATACTCTGTGGTTTTAGAAAACCCGCTGAATTTGTTCAAGATTAAAATGTAATCTTTCGGAACAAGTTTGGACAATGTGCCATCTACAGCATTAAAAAAACTAACTTCTACACACCACTTATCTTTGAAGGTTGGGCAAAAAGGCTGGTTGTCATAAGGAGGAAATTGTAGAGGGGAAGTACTGTAGTTCTTCTGTAGTTCTTGCTACAACAGCGCAGTAAATGATTACAGAAGACTCCACATTTCCAGGTAGCACATAGGTACTGAGGTTACATTTTCCGGCTTCCTGGTGTTTTAAATGTGAAGCCTATTTTAAAACCATACAGTGGAAGTTTAGGGAGAGTGAAGTCTACTTGGAAAGGGAGGTATTTTTCATTATTCTGGTTTACTTTCGAACTCTAAATATAAATTCAAAGTTTTAATGAGAATAAAGTGTTGACTCTGTGCTGAGAATACCAGTTTTGTTAGATACCAGTAACATTTGTTTATTTTCAAGTGAGAGCTCCATCTAGTGGCCATTGGAATTATGACTTGTCTGGAGATAAAGAGGGAGTACAGTTGTGTAACACTTAGAGGCAGCACACAATGCTTTCTCTTGAAAGACAAGCTTGACTTCTTATTTGAAAAATACAGCCTAATGAAATTTAATTACTGTTACTTCTGTCTTGGTTGTTGCTCAGGACTTGAGCCAGATTTCAGTCACGCTCCTCCATTTT